GCACTTTTACTCAGACTGCACTCAGACTATTAGATGCATTTAAAAACGTCCTCCTCTAATAAAACAGTATATTATTATATATTATGAAATATATTATTATATATTATGAAATATGAATGAATGATGTTACAGACTTTGTGCAAACTTTCCAGCAGTTACTGTAAATGCACTCTAAAACAAGTAGGACAATCCTCATAATACTAGCTGGAATCTAACTAAAGCCTATTGTCTATTTACAGTATGACAAGAAATGTCACAATTTGCCACATTAATATTAAAACTGGTAATCAATCACAAATATTGGTCAGTAATGAATAATCATTTTCTTTTGGTTTATAACCAAAATCAATCAATCATTACAGAAGTATGTAATTTTAATTAGTTTGTCCAAAAATAGGAATTACTGCATAAAATTTAATTAATAATAAAAAATGAATATATCATAAAATATATTATAAATATTATAAATAAATACATTTGGTCAAACAGCCCACTCCTAGTTCTGACTCTATGAATATGTACTGACAAACATGCTGAGGTTTGATTCAGTTCTTCCTTCAGAGATCAGGCTGACAATAATGAATAAATGAATTAGGTGATTGACATTGTTGTTGCAGCATTTGGATAGAAACCCTCAGAAAATAATTTCCTGTGACTTGATGTCTTTGTCTTTCTTCTGCCATCTTATCTCCCTTGCCTTCTCTGCCTTTGAAAAGCGGAAGCAAATTGCAGTAGAAAAGAAGTGCTGTGTGCTTTCTGGGCTATTCTCCACTCTTTTTTTCATGAGAATATTTTCCTGCCAAGCAAAAAGGCTCTGGAGGACTGAAGACATCACGAGCTGTTGAACTCTGCCTCCATTACCGAAAGTATGCCAAGCCTCTGTCTGTCAGTCTCTCTTTCTCTGTCGATCGGGACACAGGACGTTTAGGGAGTGATTCACAGGGGTTTATATGTAAGGGCGTGTCAATGATTCAGTGACAGTGAATGTTTTCTCATTTGTTGGGAATGTACACAGGAGAACACAAGCACATCAGCATTAAGACAACAGCAGGAGGATAAATGAAGGAAAACAACAGAGATGGGAATATTTGACTATTGATCAATGGATCTATTAGCATCTTCACAGCTCAGGATAAATCACACCCTTCATTTGTGACAATTATAAAGTACAACAGTAAAGCACTGTTGTGCATTAAACAACGACAGAAAATGAGTTGGTTCCTCAAGGGTGTTTTCTGGTGTACATCTGCATTTATTAAGCAGTAATTGGAAGCTGCTTTGAAAAAAATCACTAAAAGCAGTTAAGCTAAACTTTTGAAAAAAATTATTAGCCAAAGCAATATTTCCTACTGAATCTAGTTTTTGCAACAAAAGAGCCCAGACTTCATGAGTCTTTCTGACTGATTCATACGAAGAACCATCTCAGTACATGTGATGCTGGTCATGTTGTGTGTTGCCTATTTATCGTCTCTGTACTAGTTTTTAATTTAATCATGGTGACAGATTTTTAATTATCTATAAACACTTTAATTTATATAACCAAAATAAAAAAAACATAGTGACAAACAATAGCATTTAGCAATTTTGCCACATAAAATATTAAATATAATGACTTATTGAATATTCAAATGAATCAGCA